TTACTCTTCATATTGTCAATTAATTTTATGATCGAATCTCAACTTTTCTTTTTTTATTCTTTTTTTTTAACAAACAACATTATCTATACTGAGGGAAAGAGGATGAGTTTAGACTCATAATGAACTAACAATAATGTGGTTCAAATTTGCCTTTAACGAGAATTGAACCTAAAATCTCTCACTTACAAGTGAAGAGGAATACCACTAGACCGTAGTACTAAATGCGATGGAACCTCAACTTTCATCATGGTATCAGACCAAATTATCTCATGTGTGAAGGCCAACACTTGACGTGCTCCACGCCACCTAGTTTGTATGATTCACGTGCTAAGCTTAAAAATTCGTCACACTTGAATAGGGAATAGGCGTATTAGGAGTATGAATTCCACATCGGATAAAAAAGGACCTTGCATCTGCTTATAAGTGATTAAGCTGTTCCCTATATTATCGATTAATTTTACAGAGCTCCAACTTTCTTCATCATTACAAACTTTTATCATGAGATAATTGAGGAGTACAGATCCTCTCCAGATCTAAAAAATATGAGCCTAAGGATCAAATGATCTTGGCCGTTGAAATTTGATCCAACGGCTACAATTATTATAACTTTTAGAGAGATTCTCTATTTGTAACTATTGGATCAAATTTTAACAGACCGGATTATCTGATCCTTAGGCTTAATTTTTTAAGATTCGAAGAGGATCTCTACTTAATTAGGATCTCTACTCATAATTAAGTAGTCACCATAGCAGATCAGTCAAAAATAACAATAATGTGAAACAATATTCTCCCGTGCTAATATGCCAGTTATTATAAAACAACAAAGTTTTCATTTATAGCATACGTCTGATCGATGTTTTACAAAGTGACAGCTGTAGTTAGGCAAGTGACCCACGATGTTGGCCTTTTTCCTTCCATTCCTATCAAAGGTTTTCTACCGAACACCTGTCCTCTTATGTATATGTACGAATCTGTGGTCTGAGCTGTGAAATGGTCCCATGCACATAGCTCTCAACAACATGTTTTTTTTTCCAGTTGATTTAAACGTTTCTTTCTAACAACGTTTTTAATGTAAAAGAAATTCTTAATGTATATGTACAAATCCGTGGTGTGAGCTGTGAAATGGTCCCATGCACATAGCTCTCAACAACATGTTTTTTTTTTTTTTTTTCTTCCAGTTGATTTAGACGTTTCTTTCTAACAACGTTTTTAATGTAAAAGAAAAGAATCACATTCACAACGGGTGGAAACTTGGACGGAAGATTCAGGAACCCTAGAGCATCTGCATAACGCTATATAAGTATTCAGTATCAACTTTTAGTTAGCATACATACCACAAAATAAAAGTTCCAAATCGTTTGATCTTTTGCAAGTTCTTAATCTTGTTACTGAAATGATGCCACCCTCAACGCTTCAGGTGAAACGATTGCAGCCAGAACTTATAACTCCGGCAAAGCCAACGCCTCAAGAAACAAAGTTTCTCTCAGATATTGACGACCAAGAAGGCTTAAGATTTCAGGTTCCAGTCATAATGTGTTATAAAGACAACCCTTCAGTTAATAAAAATCGTAATCCTGTTAAGGCGATTAGGGAAGCCTTAAGTAGAGCATTAGTGTATTATTACCCTTTAGCTGGAAGACTTAGGGAAGGGCCTAACAAAAAGCTCGAGGTCGATTGCAATGGTGAAGGCATCTTGTTCGTTGAGGCTTCTGCTGATGTCACACTTGAGCAACTAGGAGACAAAATTCTACCCCCTTGTCCACTCTTAGAGGAGTTCTTATTTAATTTTCCAGGCTCTGATGGAATTATTGGTTGTCCTTTGCTGCTAATTCAGGTGAGTCAATTAATTATCAATTACATGTTATTTAGTTTTTCGTCTTCATATTTGGTCATAGCCATTAATTCTTTACAAAAAATTTGAAGTAGGTTAAGGGTATGTGTAGTGTTTTTTGCGTTAAGGTCGCATACACACGCCGGAGATTTTTTTTAAGAAATTAGTGCAATCAACAACATATGAAATTTTTAATGACAAATAAGGACATAAACAAGAAAGCCCTAACAATATTTGTAAATAAGTTGAAGTTTGGTGGCACCGCAACTGTTTTTAACTTTTTTTATAAAATTGGCAACCCTTTTCATAAACAAAAATTTATCATACTGCCACCACACCCAAACTTGAACTTATCTATGATACTATCACGCCTCGTTGTTCTTATGATTAAAGAAAGTCATTAGGTGGTTTTGGAAAGAAAAGATTATGAGACGCTTTTCATTATTTTCAAAACTAATTTTTCTTGGACAATCCTTATCTTTAACCCTATATATTGTAAAATTTGTATACACACCGAATTGAGGAAATTATATTTCTACATCACCTTTATTGTGTAAGTTTTCCTCTGTTGTTCTTCTTCTAGGTTTTTTGCCTGTCATCATGTCGTCCTCTTTGTCTTCTATCTAAATTTTTCTCTTCTATAAGCATTTTGTCTAAATTCCTCTATATTTAAAGACTCTTTCAAGTAAAGAGGCACGAGACTCTTTCAAAGAGGCTCCATCTTTCTTGAATTTTATTCCTCATTTTTATGAAATTTTTGTTTCCTAATTAGGTCATCTAATTTAGATGATTTTTTTTTTTTTTTTTTTTTTTTTTGTCTTTTCTTCTAAAGAATTGTTAACTACCACAAATATGATGATCAAGAAAAAAGTCTAGTAACTAACTTTTGCAATATGCAGGTCACTTGTCTTACGTGTGGAGGTTTCATACTTGCATTGCGCCTAAACCACACAATGTGTGATGGACCTGGATTGGTCCTGTTCTTGAAAGCCATTGCGGAGATGGCAAGAGGCGCACACGCACCTTCTATTCTACCAGTGTGGGAGAGAGAGCTCTTGTTCGCTCGAGATCCACCAAGAATTACATGTGCTCATCATGAATATGAGGACGTGATTGATCATTCTGATGGCTCATACGAATCCAATAACCAGTCAAACATGGTTCAACGATCTTTCTACTTTGGTGCCAAGGAGATAAGTGTTCTTCAAAAACAGATTCCACCGCACCTAATTTCCACTTGCTCCACATTTGACTTGATCACAGCTTGTTTGTGGAAATGTCGCACTCTTGCACTTAGAATTAATCCAAAACAAGTTGTTCGAGTTTCATGCATTGTCAATGCACAGGGAAAGCACCACAATGTACGTCTTCCCTTGGGATACTATGGCAATGCATTTGCATTTCCAGCTGCAGTTTCAAAGGCTGAATCTCTATGCAAAAATCCACTGGGATATGCTTTAGAGTTGGTGAAGAAGGCTAAAGCTACCATGAATGAAGAATACTTAAGATCAGTGGCAGATCTTTTGGTACTAAGAGGGCGACCTCAATATTCATCAACAGGAAGTTATTTCATAGTTTCTGATAATACGCGTGCAGGTTTTGGAGATGTCAATTTTGGATGGGGACAACCGGTATTTGCTGGACCCACCAAGGCCTTGGATTTGATTAGCTTCTACGATCAACACAAAAACAACACTGAGGATGGAATATTGGTACCAATGTGTTTGCCATTCTCGGCCATGGAGAGATTTCAGCAGGAACTAGAGAGGATTACTCAGGAACCTAAGGAGGATATATGTAACAACCTTAGATCAACTAGGATCAAGTCAATGATGTAAGTGTTAGACGTAATGCACTTTCTGTAATGTAAAGTTGCGTCTCTTGGAACTAATCCAAGAGTTATAGCTGTTATCAAAAGGTCTGAATGTTATTAAAAAATAGCCAATAATAAGATGGCCTTGTGTTGTAATAAAAATTTGAAAGAAATAAAATTAAATTTCAGTTGCCGTTCAAAAGCCATCCTCCATATATATTCTCTTGTATTCTTCCTTTCTGTTGTATAACTGAAAACTGCTGATCTTTCCTCTAACAGTAAGAATCATATTGCCCATCTGTTAGACAATTTAGTAAGATTTCAATGGATTTCTTCGAGTATCATGAAAATATCAGGAAGTTTGAGCCTTTATTTCCCCAAACCAATAAGAGAAAAATGATATATAAGCGATCGAGAACACAAAAGTAAACTAATCACACACAATGATAGGAACCTTGCTTACTGTAAAATCATATGGAGCAACAATTACAAGCACTCAAATATTCTTCCCACCCACCTCATAATTTAGGGTTTTGAGATCTACTTGGCTCGTTCATTCTAGTTAAAATTTTCAGCCTTATTTTGTTAAAAGTTTGTTGAACTTGAATTGAGTTGAGACTCAAATTAAAGTAAAAATCAATCACTACCACGTTTAACATTTAGCATGACAAACAATAATTGGTCACCCAAAGCTTAATAGTGTCGCACAAACGTATGCGCAACGAAAACTTCGTCACGCAGAATCAGTCGCGCAAAGATTGTGAAGAAAGACTTTGTGTGATGAACAAAAGCATTGGTCGCGGAAAATAAGGCGCGACGATTCCTCATTCGTTACATCGAATTTTTAGGAATGAATATGTTCGCCGCACAAAATGCCAGGATACAAACCTAGGACGACTAATATTCGTGTCTAAAAACTTTGCGCAACGACATGTTCTTGTGCGACGAAAACGAGTTATCGCAAAAAAAAATATAAAAATAAAAATTATATTTTTTGTTTTGGGTTTAAATTTATAAAAAAATAAAAAAATTAAATTGAAATAAAAAAAATGTAGTGAAAAGAAAATTAATTAATTTAAAATAAAAATAAAATGTATGTACAAGGAAAAAGTTTTAAAAGTAAGGGACTAAACAACTAAGAAAAAAATGTGGAATAATCCATGGGGTCGTCATTCGCATGCAGATGGAAAGATTGGGGCAAGAAAGGCTCGGGGTTGAGCATAGGCTAGAGGTTGAAGGGGTAGAGGTTGAAGGGGCTAGCACGTCGATAGGGGACAAATATCCGGGAGACGAATGTCGAACTGACTGAAGGCCTGTACAATTAGTGACATCTGGCGCTTATACGAGGCGAGCTTAGTCCTAAGGTCGGCCACCCCTACTGTCAAAGCTATCACCTCACCCTTCGACTGGGAGGATGAAAAGGCTTAAGGTTCCCGCCACCGAGCATTCCTTATCCCTTTACAATATGTCCTCAACCTTCGCCTGAGAGTTTGATCCAAGGTGTCTGTAAAGGTCTAAAACCTCGCATCCTCGAGGGGATCCACAAACTCAAGCGGAGTCTGAGGAGGAAGGTGGGAGGCGGACTCCTAAAGAACCAACTATCTCTTCTCCATCATCAGCGCATGTGTAATATAACATGAAATATTAATAATAACATTCAAATAATAACTATGATACTTGAATGCGTAAGATAGTAATTACAATTGAAGAATACTTACATGAAATGACTTGGCCAACTCATCCCTATGTCGAACATAAACGTCTACAAAGACATCAATCTTTGGGAATTTTGAACCCCTTGAATAGAACATGATAAGAAAAATGTTAGTACGAAAGAAATTAATATTACTGACATATTAAAAATTGAATATGAAAAGTTTTATTATTACCTCTCGCCGCGCCTCAATCCTATATGAGAAGGGCCTCGAACCCGAATGGTGGAGAAGAGTCTTCTTCTCCCGATTGATCTTGTTGGCTTTCGCCTTCCTCTGTTATACAAAAAATAAATGTATTAGTTCTAATTTAAATGAAACATAAAAAAAATCAATAAACATTAGTAATAAACGTATAATACTTTTAGACTTAATATAAAAAATGTACCACATAGTTGGACTCCTAAAAATGACTGCAGAGCCACACCTAATTTTTTCCTGATCCTCAAACTCCTTCAAGCAACCTTCCTCAAGAGCGACCTGCGGATCATCAAATGTCTAAAAATATTGGTGTACATCTCTCTTCCACTGCTTGTACTGTTCAGCGAAGAGCATGTTGACGTACGCCAACATATTGTCATTGATGTCATTGAAATTGTAATTCGTTTGCAATGTAGCAAATTAATTACATACGTAATATAAATATATAAAATTTAAAGAAAAAGCAATAAAAAGGCAAGATACTTATTGACAAATAAGGGCGCACCTTCGTCCTCACCTCATCTGGCATTGCCTTCCAATACTTCTATCGCATAAGGCAATAGGTCCAAACGACGTGACCAATGTCATGGGCTAATGCGCTATGCTGCTTCGACGTTGGTGCAGCCCAATGCAGTCATTGTATTTGATCGTGATACATCCATTGGTCACTTGGGTGACCTTCACAATCTTCAACTAGCGACAAGATCCCCGAGTATTTTTCTTTGCTGAAAAAAATAAAAAATAAAAAATAGTCAAACAAACATTACAAATTATACCAAAATTTTGGCAGAACCTCCCTAAAGTTATAACAATTCCCAAACGCTGGACATTGTAATAATAATATATGATATCCAATAACAATCACAAATAGGGGTGGGCAAACGAGGCATGGACCCGTGGGTAGGGGCAAGTTTAAGCAGTTCGGGGCGGGTCCAATTATTTTTTTTTAAATCTGAAACAGGGCAGGGCAGGGCGAGTCCACTTTAGTTGTGAGGTGGGGCAAGTCCTAATTGCTGATGTAAGATCCCACATCGCCCAGGGGTATGGATCATGTAAGCTTTATATGTATATTCTCATCTTTATCTAGCACGAGGCCTTTTGGGAGCTCACTGGCTTCGGAGTTCATCGGAACTCTGAAGTTAAGCGAGTTTGTGCGAGAGCAATCCCAGAATGGATGACCCACTGGGAAGTTTTTGTGTGAGTTCCCATAAACAAAAACGTGAGGGCGTGGTTGGATCCCAAAGTGGATAATATCGTGCTACAATGGAATTGAGCCTAGGATATGGTGGGGACCCGGGCCGGAATATGACAGTTGAGGAAACAGGTCCCCGACCCGGACCGTTTCCACCGTCCAAAAATTGTCCGTCTCTCAAACAAAATTCTCCATCTTTCTCACTAACCCTCCCTCTATTTCATCTCTATCCCTCCCCTCTGCAACTCACTCTATTGGGATTTCCATATTAAAACTACAAAGTGTCAAGCAAATAAACATCAATAATTTGATAAACTGAAAACGGAGTGACAAAACTAAGAAGTAACTTTTACCGCTATAACAGCAACATCCGCCAGAAAATACATGAAGTCACCATCAATATCAAGCTGCACACAGACTTGGTCAATATGCAAGTGACAAGTGAAAAAAAAAATATCCCATCGGTGGGAATTGGACTCATGATTTACAAATGGTGGGTGCAAAGTGTGAAATTCCAACCTGGCCTGCACCAAACAATGCCCTTATTGCTTTTCCATTAGTTGTAAGACTTTGTTCAATGATACGAGTAGTTTCTTGAAGTGCAGCTTTACATTGTGGACCTGCAGACTCACCAATTTGCAAATTCGATTTCGAATTCTCCACCACCTCGGGGATGACCCATTCCTTCTTGGACCAGACGCCAGAACCGTACGAGGAGTGGAGCAAGGCAGAGGAAGCCATGGCTGAGAGGAGAGAGAGGGGAAGTTTGTGGAAAGAGGCGGCGCGCTGTTGGATTTAGGAGGGTTTGGAGCGGTGGGTGTGAAGATGATATGAAGAGGAGAAAGGAAAAAAAAAAAAAAAAAAGACACCGGCAGTGCAGTATGCCCAAAAATGAAAAAAAAAAAAAAGGTAATTGGACCAATGGACCCTCATTGAATTGGATTGTTTGAAACGGACCAGATTAGATCCGGTTCCCAAACTCAAATCCCTCTACCCAGCCCGGCCCGTGCCCAACCCTAATCACATAGTTGAATAGGCCAGATTTGGACCTAACACACAGTTGCAGTATGTAAAAAATTTGATTGCACTTAATATGCGAATAACTAAATTCACAAGGCAATAAAAGGAGTTATTTAACTTTACCTTGTTGTGACCCCGAGGCATCAGTAGTGGATGTTGATGTCGTGTTGCGCATACGAGGGTGGCGGTGACCACAACAAGTATCGCCACTAAAGAGGCTAATGATGCCGGCACTTGGGAGACCCAGGGACCAACCGGATCAACCAGATTAACCAGCCTGGGGTCCATTTCTACTGGAGTAGTGGCGGCTGAAGTATGAAGTGGGAGAATCAAATGGGGTGCAGTCGTCACCGTCTTACGACTTCCAATAAGCTACGACATCCGCACAATTAGAAAAAAAAAAAAAAAAATTCAATGCATATATATGTGCCCCACATAAAGATCCATAATACACACACACATTTTGTAATTGAAATGACAAACAAAAGCTAATTAGATCATTATTTAAGGTAACATCTTCTCTACACTACTTACAAGAACAAAGGTTTTTATTTTATTTTCATGAACTGAATTTGTAATACTACCCTTTCCCTCGTGTAGCAAAACACTGATGCCTAAACAACTTAGTGGAAGAAAATTTTATTTGCAAGCTTATATCAACTTTTGGTAGTTGGTATCACACTTTCTATAAAGAAGGTCATATAAACATGAAAAGTGAGGACCAACAACTAGGTGGTATTTGAACAAGTAAAACTGATATCAAGAAACGTAATAACAAAAGTCTTATTCAAATTCGATTTATAAGAAGAACAAGTAGCACTAGAGAAAAGCAAAAACAAGCTGTAGATATCAACAGTAAACTCATAAAAAGCTTTTGATGCAGTGCCATTAATTTTGGTTTGGTAGCCGCTTCAAATTCGATTTAATATTCCTAGTAACTTGATTTCTCTTAAGTGATGTTTTAATTAGGAATTGTGTTGTCATTTAGTAATAGTCGTTTACTGTGCTATATTGGGCTAGCAACTTGTGTTTGTGGTTCTTATGGTTGCTAGCTAGGCTCTCTAAATACTCGAACTATCTAGTCCGAAAGGAATACCAAAATCTAAATAAACACAATCTGCCAAATCTAACCAAAGAATAGTATGAACTTGAAATGCAGATTAATCCTGGTGAGCAATGCGACTACAAAACCAAACTAAGACTTCAATAAACACCCATTAAACTAATTCAAAGTCAAAAAGTGCCAAACATTCAAATTTCAAACTATCAACTAGAGGGCATAGAGTACAAACTAAGAGATTCACTAACTGGCGGGCAACCACCATTTGCTCACTAGAATTAAACTAAACTCACCATATCCGCAAATACCCAATTTACCCAAATCAATAAAATAACAAGAAATATTTCTGAAAAAAAGTTCGGAAACAATTGAATCAAAGACGGGTAAGTGAGGGATTCATGAATTGAATAATCAAATGGACAAGAGAAAGCACCTTGACGAAGAGGAGGATTCCCTGTGCCGTTGAGAAAAATTATTAAAACCCAGATAAAATCAGAGAAATTAGAACATTCAGAAATCACAACTCAGACCCTGAAACAAACGTATCCAAGAATTTGCAAACAACTAACAAGCAATGAATTTGTATTACTACCCTAATTCAAAATTTGAACTCGACAGATTAGAACCCTAATTATTAAGAATTTGCAAATAATTCTAAAATTACCTCAGAGAGAGAGGGTTGTTAGAGGAAGAAGATAGAGGGTTGTTGAAGGAGGAAGAGAGAGTGCAAGTGGGCGAGAGGGTGAGAGGCCGAGAGGGAGGGTGACAAAGATTTAGTGAGAGAGACGGCTGTTGAAGGGAGAAAGTTTACAAAGAGCAAGAGATGAGGGGAAAAGTGTTTGCAATTTCAATTAAATCCCAAGGTTCTTACCCAAAAAAATCAAATTTTCATGAAATTATTTTCGTGGCCGCTCAGAAAGTCAAAATTTTCACCTTCTTGTGTGACGAAAAGGAATTTAATTGTTGTGCAAATGCTTTCTTGTTCGTCGCACAATGAGCTGAAAATTTAATTTACCCAATTCAATTTTTTTTAATTTATATTTATTCAAATAAAAGCAATTTATTTATAACATATAAGATATATAAATTACAAAAATATATATATATATATCATTTAATATGTTTTACAGAGCAATTCACAAATAAATTGTATTATTCATCATCCAAACTATAATAACTTTCATTATCGTCGCTATCATCACTTTCAGTCTCACAATCCTCCTCCTTGATAGGTACGTCACCTTCGTCATTCAGGCCCACTACACTATCGTATCGCAGAAGATTATTGAGATCAATTATAATTGACTGAATCGGTATTTCAATTGAAGCCACTCCTTGTATCTAAAGCAATTCTTGGATAAGATTTGTATTTCAAAGTGTTTCCGCAACATTTTCCATTGAAGATTCTAAACGTTGGTCAGGGACGTTGTCGTTAGTAGGGTCTTGTTCTGGTATAGCACACACATTCCTTCGATCCATCTTCTGAACAACTTTCCAACCTCTCCCCTGATTTAGGGTCATCTAGATACACAATCTGTTTTGCCATGTTTGCCAAAATGTATGGGTCGTCATCGTACCAACTTATATTAGTGTTCACAGATAGTAAGCCATGGTCGATTTTAACACTTCCCTACCTATTTGGGTTTGTATCAAACCATTGACACTTAAACATGATCACTTGGCATCGGTCTTTGTAAAGCAATTGCATGACACTTGTTAGTTTGCCATATAAATCAATGTTTGTACTTTCGCCTCCACCTGTGCTGTTTTGCATACACAACTTAGCATCTCGTGGAGCCCCCAAAAACTTGACGCCGTTAACATGGCAACCCAAGAACAATTCAGCGAAATCAGGCCAAATACCAAGTTATATAACTCTTCACTATAAGTAGGGGAATTCGATGCTTTCAATTTATTCACCTAACATTATACAAAAACATACACTTGTTAGTTTGAGAAAATTAAATACTACAATATATATGTCGAATACAAAACACTTATAACTTACATATTCGAGAAACCACTGTGGAAATAATTCTTGGTGTTTCTTGGCATACAAATGTCATGGATGTTTTTGCTTCATCATCTCTTCATGCTCATCTAGGTATGCTATTCTCTCTTCACAATTGTTTAGTACCGATTATAAAGTTAACTTTTGGGCGAATGATTTTGCACGACGAATATTGTGTTCGTCGCGCAAATACACTTTGCACGACTAATATATCATTCGTTGCGCAAGTCTACATTTTTTTTTAAATTTACTTTATAATTTATTAATGTAAACAAGTTACACAACGAATACCATTTTGGTCGCGCAAAATGCATATTTTATATTTTTATTCGTTTTCATTTTATCTAATGTAAATTTTTATTTTCATCTAAATAAAAAACTCAAACCTAATTAAACATTACCAAATTGATTAACAAAACTAATTTATTATCCCAAATACATACTATAAAATTAATGTAAATATTAATAGTCAGCCATATAACATAAATTTATTAATTAAAATCAAATATAAAGTCCTAAAAATCTTATTTCATAAAAAAAAATACAATTCAACTTCAATCCTTCTCCTTTGGGGCAGCAGCACCTCGCTCCGCATCCTGCAACACATCAAACTTCCACTGCCGGAAATACTTCTTGAAAAGGTCATCCAGATACTTCCGCTGCTTCTCATCGGTTTCATCAACATCCCAATGAACCTACATGAATGCCAATAACAATAAATTAGTAATTTAAAAAAATACTACTTTTTAACAAAAATAATTATACATTATTTAATACAAACTTACCAACAACTCTCCTAGCATGGACTTCTTCAACTCCTCAGGCACCTTTTTCCAAGACTCAAACTCGGCAAAACATTCCCTCAACACCAAAACCCTAATATCAAACCTAAGTTCAACGTACGCATCAGCCTTACTTTTGTCTTCAAAGTAGGGCACTTGCTTGTGTCGGTACCTCTCTACTCGCAATACAACTTTCCTTTCACGAGAGGCTTCTCCCGAATCGGCCACTACCTAAATTTTTTTTTCCTTTCCTGCCATTTTTGCGTGACGAATATGCTTGTTCGTCATGTAAATGCCTCTTGCTATAAAAAAATGTTTCGTCGTGCAAGCTATTTTTTCTACTAGTGAATACTCTTGGGAACAACTTCATACTTGCTCTTACTATACTACACTTGCAAGTTAAAATTGGGTTTGCTTATATGATTAATAGGTATTTCGAGCTCACATCACCAAGCAAGTTTCCCTGGTTCAAGTAGAGCTTAAGGGACCTACCAAACCGAAAACGTAGTAAAATAAATTACAATGTTTCACGCAAACCATTTGAGCAAGCTAAAGCCAAAAAATTGTACTACAAGAAAGTCATATGCCCAAGGAAAAAAAGGGTCCATGCAGCCAAGCCGTCAAATCCATAATGCAAGAAATAAACATCTTAACAAATTATTTGAAGAAAAATAATGAGGGAAGCAAAGCAATTTTTTCATATGAAATTTCAAGCAAGTAAACAGACTGAGGAAAAACAGGGCATGTACATGCCCATCGAGCCTCTACATAAAAATGTTCCATGTAGTTTGTTAGTCCCTTCTCTTTTCAGAAAAGTTTGTTGCGATCTCGTAGCCTTAAAGAAAGGCTATTCCAAATGGCGATTGACATGTCCAAGACTCCAAGGAGAAGGCTGTGTTAGGATGTATTAAATAGTGTAAGATTGTGACACTTGTCATTAGATTGTGAGTTTAGTAGTTTACTCTTCTTCATGATGCTCATATTGTCTTTGTTGGCTGTGCTATATTAGCTTCAATGTAATAACTTCATCATTAAGTAATCAATACAAAGAATATTCAGTCTCCTTTCTCTTTCTATATCTTTCTCTCTCTAGTTCTTGATTCTCTCTATTTCTTCAATCTCTGTGTACATTAACATGGTATCCATTGTTAGAACTGCTCGCACAATTCTTCTCGATCCTTCTTCTACTTCCGCTCTTCAAGTTTGATCAAGAATTTCTGTTTCTTGCTTGCAATCGTGTTCTTCTTCTCTGAGTGATCGTGTAATTCAAGATTTCTCCTCTTCTCCTTAATTTATAGTTACTTCGAGCTCACATCACCGAGCAGGGTTCACTGGTTCAAGTAGAGCTTAAGTGACCTACCAAACCGAAAACATAGTAAATAAACTACAATGTTCCACGCAAACCATTTGAGCAAGCTGAAGCCAAAAAAACTGAACAAGAAGAAAGTCACATGCCAAGAAAAAAAAATCATGTAGCCAAGCCGTCAAATCCAGAATGCAAGACAAACATTATAATAATTTTGAAGTAAAAAAAAATGTGGGAAGTAAAGCAATATTTGGAAATGAAATTTCAAGCAGGTAAACAAGGTATGTACAAGCCCATCGAGGCTCTACATAAAAAGTTCTATGTCGTTTGTTAGTCCCTTGTTTTTCAGATAAGTTTGTTGCGATCTCGTAGCATTAAAGAAAGGCTATTCCGAATGGCGATTGACATGTCCAAGATTTGGTGTATGACGTACTGTCTGGGATATAAAGCGATGAACTTTCGAGTGACGTACTCTTGTTAAGTTTGGTGATAGCTTAATGACAGCACTCTTGGATGTGTACATTTAGTCTCGCAAGATCGCACGTCCCATATCCTGTATGAGGAGGTAAACTATAATGGATGAGAATTAGATGAGCCAATTCAGATGATACCAACACCCTATGTGGGTGAGTGGGAGATGTAGGATTTATACACCCAATTTAGGGTGTGCTATCAATATGAGGTATTTGTCCCACATCGACCATTTCCCTTTGTCTCTTCCCTCCTAGCCACTATATAATGAGGGCTTCGGGGAAGGAGAAAACACACCAACGAAGACAATTCTCTTAGTTCTAGAAAGGAGAGATAATGCTCTCCACTCTCAGTAACCTTTTTCTCTCTTAGTTTAGCCTCTAGGGTATACTAAGAACTACAACGGTTTGATCCATGTGCATTAGCACAAGGTACGTAGGTAATCTAACAGAGCTAGATGCAACCGAATCCTCCCTACGATGACGCTCTCCTTTGTGGTTCGTACAACGGTTCATAGGAATGAGACGGCGATCCAGAATTTGTTAATTCCACAAGGTATGTCCTATATCTAATTCTTTATATTATTAGTACAAATTCTCAACACCCTCTCCATTTTTGGCTTCAAGTGCTCTCGTTGCTACGGCTGAGTGCGAGGAATTCCACCATTTTTCTATGTGTTGGTTTTGGAATTGGTTTCTGCAGTTGCCATCGGTTCTGTTTTTTCTCAGAACTTCTTTTGACTGTTTGATGTTGATGCCATGGTGAGCCGGTGGGCTTTTCGAAGTCTCAGCTCCATTTTGTTTCGGGAAAGGGAGAAAGATTGAAAAAGGGAGAAAGATTGAATAAGCAAAGTGTTTTTTGGGAGAAATTTTTCACATAAGTTGTGAAAATTTTTATTTTTCAAGTTACTAACTTTTTAACATCCCTATCCTACCATTTAGGCTATCTCCAACCGAAGGGGCCAAAGGATCATAGGAAAAAATATAGTCCGTTTGACAAAAACCCCATCTCCAACCGAAAGGGGCTATTTTTTAGTCCCATCAATAATTTATTATTTTAATTAAATTAATATGGTTAATTGAATTAAATTAACATATTAAAATAAGATTTTCGGATGTGAGAAATGGTTATGGAATTGAATTAAATTTTTAGCCACTTGTCAATACGTAATTGGTTATTGAATGGTGGAATGGTGAAATGGTGAAAATGATGTGAAAAACGGTATAAGAAAAAAAAAATTAGAATTTTTTTAAAATTTCGTCTAAAAAAAATTCAAATTTCAACAGTAACATGATGTCAGTTAGCCTTTGCTAACTTGCATCATGTTGACGTCATGGTTATTGTTGCATGGATCTACTACAATTAGGTTGGCTAGCTGGCTCTTTTGGCCAGCTACTCGCCTTGTGGCTGGTATATGGCCTAGTGGGCCCGCAAGCCTTTTGATCTAGTTTTTGGTTGGAGACGATTTTCGTATTCAAAATAAACTATATTTTGGCCTATGGTCCTTAGACCGTATCGGTTGGAAATAACCTTATATAATGACACGTGGTGTACCATCTCGTATTTCGATTCCATTAAAAATCTCTCATTTCTTTGAATGAGAATCCTCTTTGTGAGAATCCTGGGAATCCTCAAACCATATATGTTCATCGTATATCGTGTAATCATTTTTTATCAGGTATCGTTCATATTTAATTTTAAATAAAAGCATTTAAAATAATTTCTGTTCGTACAATGTATAATAAATAGACACAATTTAAGAATTTTCGAAAACTTCACAAAGATGATCAAGAGAGGATTCTCAGTCAATTTCTTTGCTTCTTTCTCTGCAAAACCAAGGAAAAAGGGACAGACAACAAGATTAAAAAAGGAATAAACTTGTACTTTTTTATGCTTGTTGCTTCTCCTTTGCCGTGCTTTTCCCCTCTGCTTTTCTCTTGCTTTTTGGCTTTTTATGCTTTTTGTTTTTTCTATTCCTTTTGTTCCTCCTCTAGCCGTGTACCCTTCTTCTCCTTGCCGTGGTTTTGTCTGGCTTGTTTTCCTTTCCTTTCCCCGTGGACATGACAGTTGGAGTTAGTGGGGTGAAAGTTACTATGCAGAGTGGAGAGGTTCAAGGCAGGCCATCACTTTGAGTGGAGAACGTGAGTTTTGGGAGAGTTCTAGACTCTGTGTGGGTTGTAGAGATTTTTTTTTTCTTCGCTCTTTTCTTATTTATATTTTCCTTTGTGAAAATATATGGTTCAATTATATTATTCATCAATCTTTGTTTACAGCAACCCCCTACGTACCCCCTACCTACCAAGAGAAAGAACCAAATACACCTCCGTGCCTTGGCTCCTTATCTCCTTATCGATTTCTATTTGTGTATATTGTAGAAGGAAAAAATTAAAAAAAAAAAAATTAGAGAAATTAGTATAGGAAAATTTTATTTGAACTTATGAAATCTCTTTCTATACTTAACTTATTCTCTTCATCCATATTATTTTTTTATTAAAGAAAGAGGCGTCCTTGCCCCACCCTCCTCTTCCCACTAGAATTTCCATCGCTACTTTTTTTTGTTTTTTTCTGCTACCAAACCAATACATTCGCCTTTTTTTCTTTCTACTAATATGCATAATGAACAAATCAAATAATTTATCCCCTTATATTTATCAACAAGCAAGGAAATTTATAATCTAAGAACATTGGTAAAAAGTTTTTCCTTAAAATTTTCCAATTGCAAAAATTTTAACAAACCATTCGGGATTGATGAAAAAAATTGAAATCCAAATACTCATCTTCTAAACTTTAAAAAAAATAGAAATCAAATGAACAAAATATTCATAAATTGAGTCATACCTTAGTTGGAGAATTCAAAACTTCAAAATCACCATACATCAATAAGAAAAAAACTTGTTTTTCTCTACAAGACCAATTAGGGTTAAGGCCAGAATGAACGTAAAATAAACAAGAAGTGATAGTAGGGTTTAATGGGTTTATTGATAAATTTGTGTTTTATTATTAATTTTATTTTGTACTTAATAGTAATTATGCAATAGGGTAAAATAGAGAGTAAACAATTTAAATTTAAGTTGGGTATAGAAAGATGTTACATGGGTTTAAATAAAATTTTTCATTAGCATAACCCAAATATGTAAAAATCCATCAACACGTAATTAAGCATCAAGGCAAGTGTTTGAATCTTGTTTCGATATAACCTCCACAGGCTCCATAGTTATCCTTTTTAGCTCCTGCTCAATCTTCTTCATACACCAGAAGGGTAAGCACATTGGTACCAGAATTCCATAATCTTTTTCTTGATTACTGTCCCGAACATAAAAGCTGATCAAATTGACGGGCTTGGCAGGTCCGGCAATTATTGGCTTCCCCATCCGAAATCAACCTCTCCCACACCAGTGCGCGTGTTATCCGAAAGTATGAAGTTATTCCCTGCCAATGTAAGTGGAGGCCATCCTCTCAATGTCAAAAGATCTGCCACTGATTTTATGTAGTCTTCGTTCATCTTATTTTTTGCCTTCCTCACCAGCTCCACCGCGTATTCCAGTGGACTGTTACACAAGAGTTCGGCTGTTGAAACCACACCCGGGAATCCAATTGCATTGCCATAGAATCCCAAAGGAACATTGAGATTGTTGCGCTTTCCACGTGCATTGACGACTAGCGAAACTCGAACAGCCTCGTTCGGATTCATTGCAAGTGCAATTGTTCGGCATTTCCACAAGCACCCTGTTATCAACTCAAATGTGGAGGAAGTGTTGCTAAGGTTTGGTGGAAGATGTTTCCTAGCAGCCCTTATCTCCTTAGGGCCGAAATAGAAACACCGCTGGACGAGGTCTGGCTGATCCACGGACGCAATGACGGAGCCTGCCTGGGATTCATTCTCGTCCCCATACTCGTGATGCATATATGTAACCTGTGGCGGCTCTCGGGCATTCAAGAGTTCTCGTTCCCAAATAGGTGGGATTGATGGTGCATGTGCACCTCGTGCAATCTCCCCAACTGCGTTCAAGAACTGCGCAAGCCCAACTGCATCAAACATCGTGTGGTTCAAGCGCATTGCAAATATGAAACCTCCACATTTCAGACGGGTCACATGAATTGATTACAGACAATTTTTTATCAATTACACAGAAAAATTATGGTGTGGAACTGAAACCGATCCCTTCGCATTGTAGAATTGATTTATGATATATATTCTTACAAAATAACACATACATTGGACTTACAGACGTTTTAGGGAAATGATCCTCGTTTTTTCAAAAAATGGAGATTAATTGTGGGACTCACTCCACATTGAACTTCAACAATTCAAATCGTTTATTTTGTAAGTCTCAATTCATAAATCATCCTTACAAAAATTCAACTCAATCTGAAACTATTTGCCTATTTAATTATCACGATCCAATTTCATTATTTTACTTAAAACAAAGTGTTCGTCAATTTATTTGAACTTAATTATATTTCTCAAATATTTTCTGATTTGGCTAATGTATGGCAAGAATAATTTATGAGGTGAAACTTAAAAAATAGACGGTTCGGATCGTTGAAGTCCAATACAGTGTGAGTCCCACAACTAATCCCCATTAAAAAAATAAAATAAAAAATAAAAAAATTGGATATCCCTTCTCTTAAAGGTCCCCTTAGAACTAATTATAGGGTACCTAGTAACTAATAAAAAATAACTTTACTTATATAATTCGAATACACCATAAAAATAAAATAAAAAGATGACACCATAATCTCTACTAATTAATAAAACACTCATTGTCAACCAAAACCCTATGAAATTACCAGTTTAACCCTCTAATTAAAATAGAACATGAATAAGAAATATGGGGCAAAAATGTAATTTCACACAATCAAAATTTGCTTTTGTTTTCAAAGTCTCACCTACATGTAATCATAACATATCTCTAATTTAAATTAAAAAAAAAATCCCATTCCCACATTATCTATCACTCGCTTCCTCTCTCGTTCTATTTAAAAATAAAAAATTTTCTCACACACTTTGTGTGTGCCCATATGCTAGTATTGAATAAAAAATTACTTTAATACCAAAAGATGACACCATAAAAATAAAAATAAAAAGATGACACCATAATATTGAATAAACAATTACTTAAAACCAAAAATTAATCCTAAAGGGAGCCAAAGTTCTATAAGTACTAAATGAAAAAATAATATTAAAAAAATATATATCGACCAATTTCCAACTGTTTTGGAGTTTCTTTTTTTTTTTTTCCTTTGTTTCCTATCATAATTGTCACATCCCGGTCCGGGACGGACCGTAGCACGATATTGTCCGCTTTGGGCTTACCATTCCCTCACGGTTTTGTTTTTGGGAACTCACGAGCAACTTCCCAGTGGGTCACCCATCATGGGATTGCTCTAGCCCCCTTCTCGCTTAACTTCGGAGTTCCGACGGAACCCGAAGCCAGTGAGCTCCCAAAAGGCCTCGTGCTAGGTAGAGATGGGAATATACATATAAGGATCACTCCCTTGGGTGATGTGGGATGTCACATAATTATTTTAATTCTCATGTAGATTTGGTTTTAGCCTATCCAAATTTATTAATATTTTTAACAATATAATTACATTTAGGAGTAGTGGAATAGATTACTAAGATTAGTGTCTTAATTCAAAATTATTTTATTTTGTAGAGCTATTATGTATACCCTAACTAACTAATCCTATCAGTATATGCATGACGGAGCCTCTCTCTCTCTCTCTCTCTCTCTCTCTCTCTCTCTCTCTCTCTCTCTCTACACACACACACATATATATATATATATATATATTTAGCGGTGTGATATCTACACACCTCATTTTACTTCTCACACTCCTTTTTAATTTTCGGCCGTCGGATTGGATAAGTTGACGAAGATCAACAGATAAAAATTATCAAGAGGTGTGTGAGAAGTAAAATGAGGTGTGTGGATAGCACATCCCTATATATATATATATATCTGTTTGCATGCTCTTCTATTTAAGGTATCTAGAGGGAGTACTTAATTAAATTAAATCCAAACGTACACATTAATTGATTACATGCATGAATGAACTAATGAAGTCGACGTAGTCACCTGAACCATCAGCAAAGGCGTGCCAACAATGTCATATGTGCCTGGAACATCATACAGGAAGTCCTCCAAGACTGGACAAGGGGGTTGAAGGGTGTCTCCGAGCTGCTCGAGTGTGACATCAGCATCGGCCTCTATGAACAAGACACCTTCTCCATTGCAGTCTACCATAAGCTTTTTGTTAGGCCCTTCCCTAACCCTACCAGCTAAAGGGTAGTAATACACTAATGATCTACTTAGGGCATCCCGAATTACCTGAACGGGGTCGATTTCTTTCGAAGAAGGGTTGCTGGTGTAAGACCATATAAATGGAGTTTGACACCTAAGGGCTTCTTGGTTATCTATTTCTGAGAGTATCTTTTGCTCACAAGGTGTTGGACTTGCCGGTGTTACAAGTTCTGGCTCTAATCTTTTTACCTGAAACAGTAGGGAGATTGGTGACGACCCCATTAATTACAGGCAATTGGGTTTACTAAGTGAGAATATTAATCAAAACCAACTCCTGGATAAAATCAGTGTCTCACTGTCTCCCCTTATCGTTGTGCAATGTGATTAAAGAGTGAGGAGTTATGCATGGTATTTATAAGAGTCGGACTGCAGTCTTCAATTACGTAACTTGCCTGTAGTCACAGAAGGGATAGTATCATGTAGCTTTGAATCAACGGCGGAGCTACCAACAGGCTGAAGTGGCTTTAGCGCAGGGAGAGCCTTAGTTTTTTAAACTTTAAAATACTAGTTATTTGGGCAATTTTTTTATTTTTAATTGTAGCCCACCCAATATATACAGAGCAGTGTTAGTGAATAAAATATAATTATTAAAATTATTTTAATTAATTCAAAACCCATACGGTTCCTAGATTCTAGAGAGTAACTATTAACTTTTAATATTTTCATTGTTTTATTCAATTCAAAAATATACGGTTTAGGTCTCCAATTCAATTCAGAACTGTCAACAGAAATTTTACGCATAGCAAAACTTTTTTTTTTTTTTTTAGTACATCGATATTTTTACACTAAGAAGAAAATGAGTTCAGCTAAGTTACACAATGGGAAACCTATTTTGGTATTGAATTCGTCATCCACGAGATTCGAACTTAAAACTTCTCACTTCCAAGAGAAGAGAAATACAACCAAATCATAGTACTCAGTGGCATGGCAAAACTATTTTAACTTAATGGATAAATTTTTGTGTCTGTTCATGGGAGGACTTCTTTGTGCCCTTACATACGATTAACAAACTTTTACCGTCCAAACATCATATAATGGGAATTGTTCATATTCTCTTTATCATCATCTAAAGATCATACATGCAAAAAATTATTTAATTTAGAGATCGTTTATGTTGGCTTGAATTGACTATATGTGTAATTAGCGGGATTTTCACCTGTTTGATTCCTTGTAATTAGTATAGCTTTTATTACTTGCCTTGTAAGTCAAATTTGTATTATATATATTTGCCTCCTTTGTGAAAAGAATACAATTGAAGAATTAAACCCAAATTTAAGATGGTATCAATGTAGGCTATTTTAGTTCTGGGGTTGAGTTATTGGGCTCGAACATGGTTTTTGAAGAAAAGATGTGCTAGCTCCAGTTAAGGCAACTAAATGACTGGCCTTCGAAAAGATTGGCGTTGGCTCTAGAGACTGAATATAGACTGACCGAGCCCTCGAAAACATTAGCTTAACTTCCGGTTTAATGACTTGACATGTTCCCTATGTGGGAATTGGTTTCTCTTGTGGCCCAATGTTGTATGGCCACTCGTGAGGAAGGCTTATTGGAGAATAGGAACCTACATCGATCATATGAGGGAAAAAAAAAAAAAAAACGATACTATTAACATATGGAAGTTTCAGCCCCTAATATTACCAAAGCCTTTTGTGATAAAACCCAAGACATTGTAATAGGTGGTTAAGTTGGGGAGATATTAAGGATATTGGGTAAACTTGCATGGGCCTATAAAGTTTAGCAGTTTAGTCATCCATACATGTTAAACCAATCAATGATTTTGACAACAAGTAGCATCCTCATAGTGAACCGTCCATTTATTTTATGCATATGAATAACTAGAAGATCTTTAATTTGCATACATATGATCATTACATGATGATAAAGAAATGAACTTTCCAATTATAATATTTGGATGGTGTAAGTTTGTTAATCGTAAGTGGGGACAAGCAAGTCTCCACACATGCATTATCCTTAATTAATTATTCAGTCTAGCAAAACTATATTATTGAAAAAATACATTACGTGTGTCCTAAAATCAGTTGTAGAACTATATTATTCAGTCAACAAATCTACTTAAACAAATAATTCAGTGTAATAATCTTTCTGTTTTTTTTTTAAAGAACAAACGATATTATCTAAACTAAGGAGGAGAGATGAGTTTAGTCTCACAATAGGCTAGTAATAATTTGGTTCAAATTCGCCTTTGGCGAGAATCGAACCTAAGACCACTCACTTACAAGTGAAGAAGAATATCACTAGATCATAGTACTAACTAGCTAGTGTAGCAAAATTATTTAAATTAATAATTCAGTGTAGCAAAATTATATATATTACATATATCGGGGGCCACTTAGTAT